CGCCTGGGCTGGACGGTTTCCCTATGAGTTTCTTGCAGGACTTCTGGCCAGTGATAAAGACAGACGTGATGAAACTCTTTGAAGATTTCCATAGGCTGGTAAATTTGTAAAGTCTATTAACTCCACGTTCATTGTCCTTGTCCCTAAAGTGAGTAGAGCTTCTACAATAAAGGATTTCAGACCTATTAGCTTGGTTGGCAGTGTATAAGTTGATTGCTAAAGTTTTGGCCAAAAGAATGTTTAGGGTTCTGGGCAGCATCATTGGGGGACCCCAACATGCCTTTGTTGGGGGCACACAAATTTTGGATGCAGCACTTATCGCCAACGAATTAGTTGATAAAATGCTAAACAAGAAAAGAAATGGTGTGTTGTGTAAGCTTGACATGGAGAAAGCCTATGATAATGATAGTTGGTCTTTTGTAGATTACATGCTGATGGGGCTCGATTTTGGAGTTAAATGGAGGAAATGGATCAACACTTGTGTTACTTCTGTTTCTTATACTGTGATTGTCAATGGAGGTCCATCAAAAATTTTTTAAGCCATCACAAGGGTTGAGACAAGGTGATCCCCTGTCACTATTCTTGTTCACTGTGGTTATGGAAAACTCTTAACAAAATGATCCTGAAGGCCAGAGAACAGAATCTATTCCAGGGCTTGAAGGTGGGGAAACATCACTTGAGGGAAGAAATTACTCACTTATTTTTTGCTGATGATGTTCTATTATTTAGTGAACTAGACTTGATAGCCTTATTGAACATTAAATGCATCTTAATGGGGTTTCAAGCGGTTTCCGGTTTGAAGATTAATTTGTCTAAATCTGAATATGTGGGATTAGGTGAAGCGGAGGACAGAGCTTATCTGGCTGAGGCGATAGGCTGTAAGAAGTCTAAAATGCCAATAAGATATCTTGGTTTACCTTTGGGGGCAAATTATAAAGACCAAGGTACTTGGGACCCGATTTTCAGCAGATTTGAAAAGAGATTGGCTGGCTGGAAGAGGAATTTACTGTCTAAAGATGGTCGGCTTGCACTTGTCAAAAGTACACTCAGCAATTTTCCTGTGTACTACCTTTCTTTATTGTCTATCGCTTACAATGTGGCTAAGAAGTTGGAGTCCTTACAAAGCAATTTTTTATGAGGAGAGAAGGAGGATGGCAGAAATTTCACCTCGTTGCTTAGAATGAGCTGAAAAAACCTTTACAAAATGGCGGCTTAGGGATTAAATCATTGGTGGAAATGCATATTGCTTTACAAGGGAAATGGATGTGGCACTTTATCAACGAGGAAAAAGCTTTGTGGAAGAAAATCATTACTTCGAAATATGGTATTGAGAATTTTGGTTGGTTAAATACTGGAGTAGTGAGAAATCACAAGAAGGGTCTTTAGAAAAGCATCCTAGATGGTAAAGGTGAATTCCTTAAACAAATTAGATGGAAAGTGGGTCGTGGGGACAAGATCAGATTCTGGGAAGATGATTGGCTAGAAGGAGGGCCCCTTAGGGACAGATTTCCTGCTATTTATGCTTTATCTGAAAATAAAGCTGTTAGGGTGTGTGCTTGCTTTAATAACAGCCAGACGGATGATGGTTCTTGGCAGGTGGTGGTTAACCGCTGTCTTAATGACTGGGAAATTCCTGACTACAAAATGCTGCTGGGGTTAGCGTCGGAAATCAGGCCGAATTATATCGAGGAGAGACCTGTTTGGAAAATTACAAGGAATGGTGTTTTTTCTGTCAAATCTTGGTACAGGTACCTAATGCAAGGGAAGAATAATCTGCATCATATTGGGTCAGTACACTGTCATTTCCTCACAAACTGATCTGGAAAATTAAAGTGCCTCCTAGGATTTCTTTCTTTGCATGGGAAGCTAGCAGATAATGTATTTTGACAATTGATAAGCTTAGAAGGAGGGGCTTAATTTTGGTTAATGCGTGTTACCTTTGTAAAAAAGCTGAAAAAGACTGCAGGCATCTCCTTTTACACTGCCCTGTAGTTCGTCATCTGTGGTGTTTGGTTTACAAAAGGCTGGGTATTAGCTGGGTTTGTTCGGGGTCTATTAAAGAAGCGATTTGCGCTTGGAAGCATCTCAGCAACCATTGTACCGTTGCTGATTTGATCCCCATTTCAATTATATGGACTGTTTGGAAAGTTAGGAACAGTAGGGCCTTTGAGGGTCTTGATGACACTAATGATTTTGATGTACTGAAGAATAGATGGCTTAGTACCCTTAATTTTTTGCTTACGGGTCATCCTCCGGTTTATTTTGAGACTTATAGGAAGATTACTAGAATGGAGGACTAAACTGTAAATAATTGAACATGTTTTCATTTGCACCCCTGGTGCTCATACTAATACTACTACTCTACTTTTCATTTCAAAAAAAAAAAGCAAATACACAAATGTACAACACCAACATCTAGATGATCAAGCATAATCTTCAGAGGAACAAAGAGAAAAAGAGGGAAGACATTAATGACAATAAGAAATAACTGAACATGAATTTAACATCAGTGAGAACCACCAAAGGCACAAATTTAGTCACCTCGGTGCAGCTTGTTGAAAAAGAGAATTTCAAAGAGGACAAAATACAAGTACCATGTTTCAGATTTCTTAGAAATGGAGTGGAACGTGCTTCATTCTCTGTATTGACTATAATGCATTACTCACATGTCATTTCCAAGTTATTTGTGTTGCACACAACTATAGCACCTAAATTTCAAACTAGTAGCAATATATTGGTGAACCTTCAAAAGGAAAAAAATGGACCAACAAGCAGTACAGTTGACACTGTTCTGTAACGATTCAATATCGCATGACACAGATGAATTTTGTACCAGATGTCATTTCCAAGTTATTTGTGTTGCACACAACTATAGCACCTAAATTTCAAACTAGTAGCAATATATTGGTGAACCTTCAAAAGGAAAAAAATGGACCAACAAGCAGTACAGTTGACACTGTTCTGTAACGATTCAATATCGCATGACACAGATGAATTTTGTACCAGATACCAATTAATATTGGCCAATGCTGGATGTACAGACCAATAAAGGACCAATTGATATAGCAACTATAATTTTTTTAAAAAATTATAAGTTTTTACTTAAAGCTAAAACTAGAAGGTTATTTTGCCGTAAAAAGCTTTATTCAAATGTTTAATTTTGATATATTTATAGCTATTTTTAGTATAATATTATTGTATTTTGCACTTTAAATATGAGTTTGACTTATTTAATATATTTCTAAACTAAATATTTAGATTTACGTGATTTATTTAGAAATATGTCCATTTTATTTAATACAAATTATCAAGTTAAATAGTTTATTATTTTTCACTAGAAATTAATTATTGTTACCGTTATTATAAGTATCATTATGTAGGTGTATATAAAATT